AATAGCCTAAGGGAATTTCCTGTTTCTAGGAGATACCATTAACGCAGTAATGGATCCAAATGGATGCATGTTGAATCTTTCTTTCTTTCTTTCTTTCTTTCTTTCTTTCTTTCTTTCTTTCTTTCTCAGTTATTCTTTCATCTCTTTCCTCTTTTTCTTCCTTTATCATTGCTCTTTCTTTTCCTTCTCCCTTCCTGTCTTTCCTAGTTCTCCCAATCCCAGCTATTTGTTCCGTATTATTTACATCCACATTCTACTGTAGACCTCTACTTCTGCATCTAATATTGACCGTTTGTCACTGTTGACTTCGCTTCATTTTCCTATTTGACATTCAAATCAAACCAATTAATTTGGTGTCTTTTAATCGCTTTTCAAATCAAATCTCTAGCGCTGAACAAGAATGAAACTAATCAGTTGCGATCAATTGATATCAAAGTCTAAATAGAACGTTTTTCCTTAGATCGATTATTCTATTATTTATTTTGATTGCTTTGAACTGAATTCTCTTGAAGCACTTTGTATTACTTCGTCTCGAGTTTCGCAGCACAACCGGTTTTTGACTAACCAGTAGTATTTTCTTTATTAAAACTTAAAAGTACTCTGTTATTGAGAGTGTACCATTAAAAAAGATGTCGACAGTCGGGGGAAAAAGGAAAAAAAGAAAGTCGTGAAGACAGAAAAACGCGAGTGTCAATGTTTAATGTTTAAACGCAAAAGTCCCTATTCCTCGTTCATCGTCTTACTGTTCTTTTTTATGCTCCTTTATGCTCCCTGAACGTATCACTGAAGACCACCATCATCAATAGCCTTCTCTGCGTGTAGGCTATCGATCGAGTCTGCCGTCACAATACTTTAGCTTCACATGACCACTGTACGGAATATTGATATATTTTGCTAAGGAAATGCTTTCTTTTGCTGAATAATCGATAATTCTATCCTATGTTTTACCGCAGTGTCTTTTCTCTTCCATTTTTTCCATTTTTATCATGTCATCTTCTGTTTCTTCTCTCTCTTTTTTCATTTCCTTTGATTCTCACTCTAAATCTTTGGCAATTTATGGTTAAATTGGATTCTGAAGAGCCTTTTTGTTTCAATTCATTATGATTATTTCACTAGTAAGGATGTGTTCATAAAGCGAGTAGCAGAAGCCCTCCAAGTAGTCGCCTAGCTCCACTGGGAGTCCCCATCGAAGTAAAACTACTTTCTTTATGACAATGGAACAGATAGATACCATTTACTGTTCTCTAGTCATGATAGAACCATATTAGCGCTACATAGAGTAGACATGCACTGTCAACACATCACCGTACATAAGAACACAAAAACCTTTTTCATACATTTGTACTTGTATTTATTCAAATAACACTATTCATTATGCCAATATCTCTTCTTTTCCATTGTGATATTAATTTGGAGGTTTTTGCGTTTTGTTCAACACACTCAGTCCTTATTTTCTTGCAATTCATCATTTAACTTCTTCCGAGCTTCAAGCGTGATAGATTTTTGACGGAAAAATCGCACAATTTAGTAAAATGAAAAGTTACTTTTTAAAAAGGCAAAGGCTATAAGAAATCATCAATAATGCAAGACAAATATGCATTCGTTATTTGTTAATTGATTTTTAGTTTAAAGATCTACTTCGAGTTATGTTCTTTCTCAAAGTGTGGTTGGTCTGGTATTTCTCATTTAAGAATATCCAGAATTCTTTTCGGATTATTAATAGTTAAATTAGATCAATGGTTCTTGGAAGTCGATAAAATTGGCGTCTCTATGGCACCTGGAATGGAAGATTCTATCAAATATTGACAGTTTAGTGTATTATTGTAACACACCTGGCTACCTTCAGTCACTATTCCTTACTCATTACCATACAAAGTAGGTAGTTGTTAGTGGACTCTGACGTGGGGTCTCACTAGAGGGACTGATATAAAAACTACATTCAATGCCAACGCTTCTTATCAAGAGCAACAACACAATGACCACAATACGATCCTTAGGAGTTATTGGAGGAATCCTGAGTGTTATTGTAGCTTTGTTTTGTGCTAAGTATTTTATAATCCCCCAAAATGATGAACACGAAACTGTCTTCCCTACAGTATCGCCTGGAGATGAGCTCGGCCAAGTCTACCGGTTATCAAGCGTCGACCCTGTAAGGGTAAGTCGTTGTTCAAAGTCTTAAAGGCAAAAGAATGTTACTGTATAGATGAGTCCAGCTTGGCTACAAGGAAACCTTAAAAAGAGCTTTCAGTTTTATTATAATACTGATCTAATGACTTTATTAGCCTATTTTTCCTTTTTCATGTACTGAAAAGAAGTCAATTTGAACTGGTTTAAAATTCAAAATATTGACTTTTCAGCCCAAACCAGTACTTGAAATTTGTCGCGATCTTTTGATCTCATGGACATACGGTTTATAAACCTTTTCAATTGAAGTTTGCTCTTGTTCACTGTATGGATTAAGAATTAAGTACTAAAATCCAAAGCCTTCCACAATTCTCCAAAAAAGGAGTGGAGAAAGCTCTTTGCCATAGTTTCAAATACATAAATACGCCCTCCGTAAAGCAATTTTTGATCAAGTTCTCTATATTCTGGATGAGAACAGCTCTAAGTACCATATATTAAATTATTGAATAAATTTAGTCTATTCTTTTTGACTTATGAATATTTTCTTTAGAGGATTTAAGTCTTAAAACAAAAAAGAGGAAAACAAATTATGAAAAACGAGGGATCGAATTTAAAACGGAATTCTTAATTTCGGCTATTTTCGTCTCGATGTTTGATAATTGATCAAATTGTTGGCACTGCTGTGCAAAAAGCGACGAACGCGTGTTTGTATATTACGATATCCTGTATGAAAACAGCTGTTATTTGTTTCTTTACAGAATTAGCTATTCTCTTTAACACTACTTTCAATACTATACTATGTATAATTCTTTCCATTTTCCATTTGTTCATTTGTTCATTTGTTTTCGGCTCGGTAGAGATATTTCCGCTCTTCGCACTCCGGCATTTGAAGGTTGTCGGCGATAATTTCTCGTTTTTCTTCACGAAAGTTCTTATTTGATTAGTAAGAAGATCGACCCAGCGGAAGGAATCCGAATCCCAAATGAGCAATTGAGCAATTAAATGGGTTCTTTTGGCCGGTAATTTGTCATTTACGCCGATATCGGTGCCTTATCACTACTAAAGCGATCCTCCATCGTAAAACAAGAACCATTCTCAATTTAATTAATTTGTATGCGTTTTCTTATATATCTCTGGTATTCTTTTTGCAATATTATACGATATTATTCGTTACAAGATATTCTTTCATGTCCTCTGTACAAGCCATACAGTCTGCGCATTCAAAATTTATGCGAGACGTGGCCAAACCATTAAACATCGTAAACTAATTCATAAAACCAAAACTTAATTTAGACGAAAATGCGTCATGCTACCTTCGACCCTTCAACCGACCAATCTTATGTTTTAGCATTTTGCACTTTTTTGAGCCTATTCTTACTGTCTGACCGACTGGCCGGCTGCCTGGCTATATATGAAGGCACTGGGCCAAGTCTGATCACAGACTACATAATATGCAGAACGTTACTGATTCCAATAAATGAAATAAGACTGATTCAGACTCAGTAAATGTAAGACGCCATTCTTTAATATTTTACTTTTATTACTTCTAAAGGGCCAAATAAGCAGAGCTGTTTGCTGAACTTAATCGACAAAAGTTTTCTGTCTATTTTTACTTGCACTATTATTAACGTCATGGTGTTAGTAATATTTTAATAGCATGTTGACTGGATATTTTTTCTTTTTTCTTCCAATGATCGTTATTTTGTTAGTTTATAGGAACCAAGTATTCTATAATCTTCGCATGTAGTACGTATTCGATAGACGCAACGGCTTTAGTGCTAATGTTAATCCAAGTCGATTAAGCGCAATTACTTTGCTGCTGCCAGCAGGGTTCATCATCTAGCGCCATTATCTTCTTATTCTCAGTCATCAAAACAGCCATTCAGATCATTGATGTAAATATGGCGAACCACCTGCACTATGCCATATAAAGACATTTATTTAGGTTCATTTTGTTGAAATTGAAAAAAAAATTAAGCGATGTTTTCTTTTACTATAGGTTGGTTATGTTCGCGAAATCCAACTGGTCAGCGGTAAGACTCATTATATAAAGACTTTGAGCATGCGCCCTGCACTTTTCGGTAAGTTTTGTTTTCAACAAATGTGAAGCTACCTCTAAATCTTATGGATTAAAAAGCCATGGAATTGTATTCAAGATTTAAAATAAGAGAGAAAAACAACATTTAGGATACGCAGTTATTTAAGATGGTTGATAAATTGGGATTCATCCCTAGTCCCTCACACGGCCAAGGTTATTTTTCCAGCATTCGTTATCTTTTCTTTTTATATTTCACTTGTCATTTTCCTGCGCTTTTTTATTTAATCAACTCGAGGAAAAAGATGTTTGTTCTACAGCAATAAAGTAATATTCTCAGCCAAGAAAAACAGGAAACAGAGTATGAGAACGACAACAAAGCAGCAGGAAATCTTTAGGTTTAATGGAAGAGGCTTAATTAGGAATATGTTTATACATACTTAGTGGTTCAATAATCGTGGTGTTTGCTCAGTATGTTTTTACTGGCCACCGGATACACTTATTACAAGTCCCCTGTCTCGAAATAGCTCGTTCAATACAAGAATCATTTTATTCCCTTGGGGAATATTATTACATCACGTACACATAATAATTATATTTTATAATTAATTGTGCGCAAATTTCAAATTTTTCTCAATGCGCATTACGATAAGTCTAAAATTGAATGAAGAAAAGCAATATGGATACTGTAACCGATAAATAAATAGAAAAAATGACTATGAAATGAAGCAAGTTATCGTAAAAATGTTCTATATACAATCATAATAGGTGGTAGGCGTTTTTAAAGAGATCTTGAGCAATGATTTAAAAGTACTTTTGCTAGTACAGTATCTGATTCGCTGACATAGCATGATCAAAGTATTGAATTCAACATCAAAAGGATCAGTAGATATAGCGCTGTAGATTTGGTTATAACATTGTAGCAGTATTGATACGAATATTAGACGAAAGAAATTTTAAAAAATCACCTTTTGTTGTGTTTTATGGTAGAAATCGAAAACTTTTTGAGTGACGAGGAATGCGATGATATCATCTTCATGGCCAAGACTCAGGGATTGGAAGACAGTAGAACATTACTTGATGGGGTATTTAAGGTCAATGAGAGCGTCCTCGCCCGTATTGCACATGACCCTGATGCAGCCTTTACAAACAATGATGCTAATGAAGATGGTGTTCTAGATAAAGGCGAAGTAAGTACTTATTAGTTATTCCAACAGTACATCAGCAGCAACAGAAAAAAAGCTACAGACAACAACAGGCACATCAATAACAAAAACCTTATCCATGACTATAATTTAGCAGCAGCAGCAGTAACAGAACTGTACGACTTTAGCAACAACCACTATAACTACAACTACGACAATAACAGTAGCAGCAGTAACAGAACTATACGTCTTCAGTGACAACCACTACGACAATAACAACAGCAGCAACAACAAAACTGTACGTCTTCAGTGACAACAACTACGACAATAACAACAGCAGCAACAACAAAACTGTACGTCTTCAGCAACCACCACTACAACTACTACTACGACAATAACAACAGCAGCAGTATCAGAACCATACGTCTTCAGCAACCACCACTACAACTACTACTACAACAACAACAATAGCAGCAACAACAAAACTATACGTCTTCAGTGACAACAACTACGACAATAACAACAGCAGCAACAACAAAACTGTACGTCTTCAGTGATAACAACTACGACAATAACAACAGCAGCAACAACAAAGCTGTACGTCTTCAGTGACAACAACTACAACTACAACTACTACTATGACAATAACAACAGCAGCAACAAAAAACTATACGTCTTCAGTGACAACCACTACAACTACTACTACGACAATAACAACAGCAGCAACATAAGCAACACACATTAATAAGAAATAAAAATGAGCTGTAATACTTGAGACTTTCTTTAAACCAAATTAGTTCTGTTCTAATCCTTCTGTTCCAATCCCTAGTTGGTTCATAGCATTGGGTACATTGGGGACATCAGACTAACAAATGAAGATCTGGATCGACTGTAAGTAACTTGATTGCATATTAAACTAGCCATCATAACAAGATAACTTGTTGACTGACAGGGATATTTTCTTCACAGGATAGAAGATCTAGAGCTCGATACAAATAAAGACGGTAAGTAAAGCTGCATTATATAGCTACGAGACATTGCAAGGATAAGATTTGAGATGAAGAACACTATAGGTGGACCACTCTCGCAGCTTCTGACGCAAACTAGGGCACGCGTACACCACCATTCATTAGAAATTCCAAAAACTGGACTCTTTTTAAGTGTAGAATAGAATGCTTTGAGAGAAGTTTCTTCCTCAGTACTATCTCCTTGGCCAATAGCAAAAGATCTCATTAATTATTTAGTTTTCCATACTTTTCTTTTCGTTCTTTTAGTTATTCGTTAATAATTAATAGTAGTATCATAAGCAGTGGCGGATCTAGGGGTGGGTATTGGGGGTTGCAACCCCCCTATGAGAGCCATCGTGATTTATTATTATTATTATTATTTCATGACGACACCAACAGCATCGCGAGTTTTATTTTTAATATATTAAAACAGGGGTGCCGAACACATTTCGCTCGCTTTTTTTCTATGCGCCGCGTGTGGGACCTGAAACAACCATGCTCGCCTGCAGCAATAATCGTCTCCCTAACCTTTTGGATTGCTATATCTCTCCACCACCTCAATCAATGCTACAACCCCCCCCCCCCCTCCTTTGAAAAAATCCTGGATCCGCCCCTGATAAGTAAGCCCGTGTTAGGCTCAGGTTAAACGTCGAACTTCACATGAGCCGAACCTAATCAAAACGATGGATAACAAGGCGATATTTTTTGATGTTCGGCTCATGTAAAGTTCGACGTTTAACCTGAGCCTAACACGGGATGCTGAAAACACCTTCACACCGTAGTTAATTTTTAATGCGATTATGTGTGATTAAACTTTTTAAATATGTATTATAATTATGTGTTGTGTTTCTTTAGGTGTTTTGTCTCGTGAGGAACACAGTGCTTTATTGGAGGAAGGAAAACTAGAAAAAATCCTAAATTACACAAAAAGCATCAAACAAGAGCGACCGAGCTCGCGAAGTCGTGTCAGCAACACTGCTTTTTTGAGCCCACTCGATCACCTAGGCAAGAAAGAGTTGTTTGAATCAATCAAAAAGCGGTAAGCATCATTCAACTTTTGTACTGGTTATAAACAGTCTAACTTGGAACATTTTGTGTTCAATAGGATTCAGAAGGTTAGTGGATTACCAAGAGACATCATTTGGACAAGTGAAGACCTTCAGGTAAATACATGTTTATTATCAACTGATCTAGATGTAACTGAGTACTATGTAAGGTACGACAAGTACGGTCATTCTACTAGTGATATATTGATGTGTTCTCATGATGTATCTATGTATTTGATGTAAAGGTACTGAGGTACGACAAGAACGGTCATTATCACACCCATTATGACTCAGAAGAAGAGAATGACAATCCCACGATTCCATGCTGTCACTACTTTAACCACTTGGATGACGACAACTGTATACCATGCAGGTAACCATGGCAATACCAAGACAACAAAAAGCTTTTTAAGGGTTCTAGTAACAAGTGTTATTTCTCTAGATACATGACATTCTTCTATTATCTTAACGAACCCGAGGAAGGAGGAGAAACGGCTTTTCCTATCGCAGACAACGACACTACAGCACCTCAGGTAAAGCATATACCATATGTACACACTACCAGGTCACGTGACATATTCAATGCAAGTCACGTGGTTATATTGATGGACTATATTCGTATTACAGCGAAGGTGATGGGAATTCTGGGTATCACGTGACTTATTCTAGAGTCATATTGCGCATGTCTTTTATTCACAGGTTATGCAAAATGAAAAAAGGCACCTGTTTGATCACGTGACATACTAGAGTTTCACTGCGCATGTCTTTTATTTACAGGTTATGCGCAGTGAAAAAAGGCACCTGTTTGATTTGAGTAATCACTGCCACGAAGCGAAAATAACCTACAAACCGAAGAAAGGAGCTGCGTTGTTCTGGTATAATCACTTCATCGACGAGAACACGGGTTGGCTCGGAGAAATGGACAAGATGAGCTATCATGGCGGGTGTGACGTCATTAAAGGAACGAAATGGGCTGCCAATAACTGGATTAACGTCGGGAAGAACAGGGAGTTGGACAGTGAAGCCTGGAAAAACTATAAAGAATTTATAGATGATTATGATCAGCAGGACGATATGAAAAATGAATATGAACCAGAGACTGAAGATGTCCGCGAAGGTAAGGGTGACAGAGACATGGCAAATCTAGACGTTACTATGGATACGGCTCATTAAAGAACACAAAAAACTCATGGAATGAAATGAATCGGTATTTATTAGAAATAACACTGATAATTTATTAATAGTATCATCACGAAACTAAGTATCACGTGATAAAAGTGATGACCAAAAATACAATCGGGTTTGAGCTAAGGATATACGTACGATGCGAAGGTCCCTTGTGGAAGGCTCTGCTGGATGGCAAACAAACAAACTTTAAATTGCTTCGTAGTCGAAATGGAGAGTACCTTACAAAGGAAAAAATATATTTTAGAAAAGGTTGGTAATCCAGCAAAAGATATTTAAATAAATGAAGTCCGAATGTTTTTGCCATCCAGTAAGTTACATGACTATTATACCCTGCAAATGRCCTACCAAGAGTGATCTTTAACAGACACATTTTTCTTTAATTAATTTGTTATATTGGAGTGTAATTCTAGTCTAGATTCAGTGTCCTATCTATCAAGTAAATGATTTACTTGATAGATAGGACACTGAATCTAGACTAGAATTACACTCCAATATAACAAATTAATTAAAGAAAAATGTGTCTGTCCCGAAAGGCCTGAGATGAAAGGTAAGTTCTGTGTTTGACATGCCATGCGGGTACGAAGATGTCCTTACGGCCAGCTGATCTGAACTATTGACGTAGGCGTCATGATAACTTTAATAACTGACCTATAAAAAAAGACATGGCCGTTATTACAAAAAAANGATTTGGGACCGAGGTAGTAAGGAGCGTTGAAGCTGTGAAGGAGGACGAGAGATTCGGACCTAGAGTCGAATCCTTGAACGCTGTACCACTTGCCGTTCTTATGGACGCCTCGAGTGAATCTGTAGAAGAAGGGGGAAAATATATTCATTAGTAGCAGTAGCGGTAGGAGGAGGAAGACGAGCAGCAACAGCGAAAAAGAAAGAAGGAAAGAAAGAAAGAAAGAAAAAAAAAAAAGAAAAAAAAGATAAAGGTTAGTACATTATTGCATTTGTCACTGTTACAAGTGCTTAGTACCGCTATTTGTCTATCTTGGGGGCCTGGTAAGCCATAGATCCGAGAGGAAAAATGATACTTCAGTTTTGCAAATTTTTTGTCGATTCTGATTGGATAACAGTTTTTTCTCATATCACCTCCCTACAAATCAAATTGACAATGACAAAATGAAGTATTATTGAAAATAATATAGAAAAGATTGTCTTTGATAATCAGAAACAAAGTTTAAAACCAAAAGCAATAAAAATCAATAATTTAGAATTTAGAAGTAGATATTTAATAAAATAAAATAAAATAAGAATAACGCACTTGAATCTAATTGCTTTATACAGAGTATTGTTGGGCACTTTCATCTTTCAGTGTATATCGGGAAAGTCAAATGTCATTTGTTCAACTACCACTAAGAAGGCAAATCCGATCGATGGTATATCCCTATTCAATAGGGCTTTTTATAACCACTGACAATTCAATATATTTGATTATAGTGCAGTTTTCGTATGACGATGAAAAGCTCAGTGCCGTAAGCGTGACGTGCCGTGACCGTGATACTTTCTAGAATTTCAATTGGTTGATTTTTTTCACGCGCAATATGATTGGTCTAAAAGTGCCGTGATCTTGGCGTGACCGTGTCCGCGCCGTGTTTATGCCGTGTTCCGGGTATTTGATTGGATGGAGAGTAAATTCTCGAGCAATGTGATTTGTCTGGCGTATCCCTTGTTGTGTCACGACCGTGTTCGTGCCGTCAACTTTTCACAGTCATACGAAAACTGCACTATTTGCATAAATAATTAAAACTATCTGTTGGTAACAGGCATGTTATTTAACTAACGACAATTTCAAAGTCAACAAACTTAAACTTGATGAAATCTTGTAATCAAATGTTTAATTAAATTATTAAGCCAATAAATGTTTTGCTGCTTRTCGAAGTTCTGTCATCCTGCTGAAGTGAATAATAGGGTTAACTGTAGCGTTCAGTGTCACAATAGACTCAGAGATCACTAGTACTGGTGTGAGAATAACAGGCGATGAAATTCTTGTAAAGTAAAAAACTAATAACGGTGTATATAACATTAAGGTAGCAGTGAGTATGATCACCATGGTTACAAGATATCTCCTGTATTTGAAGATATTCAAATCTGAAGCTGGTTGCTGCCCAGTTGCGAGATGGTTGGTGACTTGGGCAGAAAGACGCTTAAGGGAATAGAAAGCCATCGAATATGATACAGTGATAGTGAATATACATATTGACAGAAAAACTAAAGCAAGAATCAAAAATTGCTGCGGGTGAAGAAAATGAACTGTGAATAAGATAACAAGGGATTCCAAGAGCCAGATAGAGAGCACGAGTAGAGAAGTTCGTTTCTTGGTTACTACAGATCGGTAAGATGTCTTCATTACAATGGCCATACATCGATCAATACTGATAGCTGTCAAAGTCGAGAGTGATATAGTTCCTAGGATATAACCGATCCTTGTTAGAAGTAAGGAAGATACACAGATAACATCAGGCCAGTATTTGATAGTAGAAGCAAAATATACGACTGACAATCCTTGCACCAAGGCTCCAGTCAGTAAATCAGTCATAGCAAGACTACAGAGAAGGATTCTCGATGGTGTGTGTAGAGAAGGGGTTTTGCGTACAGTCCACAACACAAGAGCATTAAGAACAATGGCAGCTATTGCTGTTATGGAGTGAAGGATGATGAGAGAAATCGCAACCACTTGCACCAAATTCGGATCCTTTTTGTCTAGTTCACAGATATTCTTTTCCATTCCAATGATTATCTTTTCCTTTTTGACGGATTGTTGTTGTCCTGTCAATGCAATGATATAGACCAGCTGCCAGTGAATCAAGTTCTTCAGTCCTATTTGAACAAGTATTGACCAATACAGGATATCCTCATCAAACACTTTGAAAGCAATGGTTAGACAGGTGACTAGAAAAAGGAAACCGCTGTACAGCAGTGTATGCAGATTCTTTATAATAATAATAAT